TGCATCACAATCTTCATCAGCTTCTTCATCACCTTCTGTGTCCATGTGTTCTTGTTCTGAGCAAATTTCCACATCAACAAACCTATCATTTTGTTCTTCAGAAGCACCTTCAGCCTCCATGTCTTCATCATCTTCTTTTTCAGTAACACTGCCATCTGCCTCACCTTCACCATGCAGTTGTTCAGTTGGGTAGGTATCATGGTGTAATGTTTCATCTTCTAATAGTTTTTTTTTTTGAACGACACGTGAGCATGTGAGAAATTATATAACACGTAAAACAATTCTGAGTGCATAGTTGAAGCTATGATCAATATTCAATACTCGGAACTTGGGAAAAACCCAAAGAAAGCAACCATTAGTGCTTATTACAGTCAGCTGGCCAGAGCCAGGTGCAACTCTCTGTAGTTAGAATCATGATAAGATACGAGTGGCAAAGTTACTTCTCTCTTAAATGGGCAACAACAATGGACACTGTGCACCATGTCACAAATGTCGCCATAACTCAATGGTCAAGTTCAGCTAACAAGAACAAACAACGGTTTGTCTCCCAACCGTTCCCGCCCCTTCAGTTCCGGCAATTCAATAACACACGCACACTCAACAACGATGCCACCAACACGCTCGATCAGTTTGATTGCCGCATCCAAGGTACCCCCAGTTGCAATGAGGTCATCTATTATAAGAACACGTTCTCCTTCTTGGACAGCACCAACATGCATCTCCATAACATCTGTTCCATACTCCAAAGTGTACTCTTGTGAGATAACCTCACCGGGCAACTTCTTTGGTTTCCTCATAGGAACAAATTTCGCCCGTATAGCCAACGCAATTGGAGAACCAAAAATAAAGCCTCTCGCTTCAACTCCTGCGACCACATTGATATTTTTGTCCTTGTATCTTTCAACAAACAAATCGATAGTGTCCTTAAACACCTTCGGATCAAGCAACAGAGTCGTTATATCCTGAAAAAGGATCCCGGGTTTGGGAAAGTCGGGGATGACGCGGATTGTAGATGAAATAGCAGGGATTCGAGGATCTATAGCAGCCGAACTGTGTGAAGCCATCTCCGTTGATTTCGTGCCTGGATCGGAACTCGATCCGTATGCAGCCACGCGAATCGGCTGTGCTGGTCTTCTTCGTCTAGTAGCAGTAGCGGCGGAGGCGGCGGTAGTGTGAGGTAAGTTTATTCGGACCAAATTGCCACCCTGGAAATATGTTCTTACTCTTTCGCCGAAATTTCCGCGTGAGAGTATGAGAGTGGATTGGCTTCATCTTCTAATAGTACTTCATCATCAATGTGTTCATCTTCCACCACATTTGGAGCAGGTAATGGAAGGACATCAACCAATTCCACCTCATCTAATACATGATGCACATAAATCTCACAAATTCCACAGGTTGTAGTCATACCAATCAGTTTCAAGGCGGACTCATCATTGAATAACTCCAATAATTGGTCCATAGTCTCCCCTGGTGTTTTATAGTACAACCCATGAATATTTCCATACTTTCCTTCCTTTAACCATCTCAATAGATGTGTATAGAAAATGTAATCAGGATCTATACGCACTCTGTCCACTTCACCACCAACGTAAGTACATGCAGGATCTCTAACAAAGGTCCCTCGATGATGAACTACCAGTTCAACAATGTCAAACATTCTACAGACAAAAAAATTAAGTTTTGGTTCGTCACACAATAAACAAACATCAACAATAGCACACATTACAGGGAAAACAAGGATTCAAGTATTATGTACTCATAGTTCATATTTTTTGTGTTGGCGATGACTCATGAGGGTTTGCGAACACACATAACACTTCACACCAACCCATAATATAGACAATGTAATTACAACCATTTTTTGTATTCCACACATCAATAACGCACATGCACAACAATAAACACTGTAACACTTGAGATTTAATATAAACGGATTAATAGTACTACTCATACCAACAGAGGTGCATCTCCTTTTAAGGGAGCTCATCACCCAAGAACTCCAAAGTTAAGCGTGCTTGCACGTGAGTAGTCTTGGGATGGGTGACCCCCTGGGAAGTTTCTCAGGGCGCGCATGAGTGAGGACAAAGTGCGCGGTAAAGGCTTGTGGTGGTTTGTGGGGACAGTACTAAAGGTCTGGAGTAACTACCTCAGGGCCTGCGGGGCCGGGGTGTTACAGGTGGTATCAGAGAAACCCCGCGACAGTGTGATGACCCGTTGGATATCGGGCGGGCACTTAGCGGGGGAAGATTCTGGGATTTGATTGAGATTTGAGATTGGTTCAAGGGCGCAACGAGGACGTTGCGATCCTAAGTGGGGGTGATTGTAACACTTGAGATTTAATATAAACGGATTAATAGTACTACTCATACCAACAGATGTGCATCTCCTTTTAAGGGAGCTCATCACCCAAGAACTCCAAAGTTAAGCGTGCTTGCACGGGAGTAGTCTTGGGATGAGTGACCCCCTGGGAAGTTTCTCAGGGCGCGCATGAGTGAGGACAAAGTGCGCGGTAAAGGCTTGTGGTGGTTTGTGGGGACAGTACTAAAGGTCTGGAGTAACTACCTCAGGGCCTGCGGGGCCGGGGTGTTACAAACACACCAACACATGAATGAAAAATTTCAGCGTCTTTAATCGACAGAACAACAACCCTAATTCAAATGAATCCACGCCAAAACGACAGGCATTTGAAATTAACTCTTACTTGCACTGCGGTATCGGCTTCAGATACTCAACAACGTTGAACTTCGATTCACTTCACCAACAACTTCATTGCGTCCTTGCTACCACTCCAACAATCATTAAGAAAGGTCTTCCTTTGGGCTCAGGTTTGAGAAAATGGGGAATGAATCGACTAAGAGGGAGGGCTAATTGAAATGGACAAATCATTTCCACGTCAATTACACACAAAACCTTACATTACTTCCACGTAGACGCCATGTCAGCACTCCAAAGGGAAACCGAGAGGTAACCTATTAAAAAGAGGATTTGAAGAAAATAACATACTTTGGGGTTTAATTGACAAAACTTTTAGTAGGAGGGTATAATTGCCTGTCCGTACAAAGTACGAGGGTCGATTTGACACTTTTCTCTTTTTTGAAAGTAAACGTGTGTGGGTGACACTTTTATGAATACATGGTCTTATATGATCATTTCGGGATAGTAGAGGGTCTTATTTGAAAAGAATCAGGAAAGAAAGGTTGGGATAGTTAGGGTTGTATACGAACCGAATCGAGTCGAATAATGAGATTTTGTATTTGTATTTGTTTAATATTTTCGAATACGAATTCGAATTCAAATACGAAACGAATATTAATTTCGATTTGTATTTGTATTTGTTTAACAATACGAATAGTTAACAAATTATATACGAATATCGAATCGATTTAAGCATAGGTTAAATATTAGTCAAATACGGAGTGTCACTTTAAAATAACTTTTCTTATACTCCGTATTGTTTATGTTTTAAATGCATGCTATGACTTAATATGTGTTCTTAGAATAAAAATTTAATGGATCAATGCATTTTTAGATGTTACACAATATACTAAAGTGAATTAATTTTATGATTAATAAATATAAATCTATTTCAAACATTTTGAGATAAACACTAACACACACATCAGAAATTATACTTACAATGTGTGAAATAAGTTGACAATTGCATATATCAAAGTCAAACAACTCTAATTTTATTCTTCAAATCGAATACATAATTATTTGTTTTGTATTTGAAAGACATTTGAACTAAAAAATTGATTTGTATTCGTATTTATATTCTGATTTATTACATATAGGCTTCAAATCTGTATGCAAAAATGTATATATGGGCTACACGTGGAGAATATTGCTATCTTTTAAAAGTTTTTTTTTTTTATCATCAAAACATGCCTCTATTCATATCAAAAGATTCCAACAACTACGACTGTAACCCTATGGTGAGACTTTGAGACGGTCACCCCTGAGAGAGCAACACGAATCGCTAACCATGTAGTGGGCTTGACACAGCCAAAACTATTCCCATAGATCCAATCATACCCAATGACATAAAGAGAGGCAAAAAACTCAAACAAATTGTCCAACCCAACAACAAAAATGGACGCAAGAAAACAAATAACAAACAGATAAAAACTACAAGAAAAACGTTCACGAACTCTAGCACCTCGTGCATCCCATGGTGGTGGTTCAGGAGGAGGTCGTACCACTAGTACCATGCTAATTGATCCTCCATGACCTTTGGCTGCCAAAGATCATGCATCAATCCTCCATCCATGCATAACCAAACTCATCCATGCTCCGTGCGACCAGAGTAAGCGGACAGGCGGTGCCGATCTTCTCCAACGACGGCAGCAACGCCGCATCCTCGAACCTTGACCACAGCGCCGATCTCCTCGAGCCATGACAACAAATCTGCCCTCCTCCACCGATCTCCGCCCTCCGCGTCTGACCTGAACTCCAGTCGAGCACCAGCGACCAAGGGATAACAAAGCCGATCTTCGATAAAGTCGAAATCGGAAAAAGGCTCCAGTTGCCGACATAGTGAAAGCCCTAGAGAGAAAAACTCGTGATCGCTCTATCTTAGCCAAAAGCAGACCACGGCCAGATATGCGAACAAGAACAGCCGAACTTCGATCAATATGATCGAATTCGAAAAAAAAAGCCTAGAGGCGGCTGCCCTAGGAGGCTAGGATGATGACGAACTTAACATGTTTTTTCCGCAAACCCTTTATCTTTTAAAAGTTATTATAGTGTTATTACTATTATTATTAATATTGATATTAATACTTCCACTATTATTAATCGAATATATTTGATTAATATTCGAATCGAATACACTGATATTCTTATTTGTATTTGATAACAACTCGAATCAAATTTAATATTCTTATTTGTATTTGTATTTTGCGAATTCGAATCGTCTTATATGAATTCGAATCGCAAATCGAGCACAAATTATTTGATTCATTTACAACCTTAGGGGTAGTACCAGTACTAGAGTGATAATAGGATGGAGGGGTAGAGTAGTAGATTAGGGGTAGATTTTGAAAGGATTAGTGATGAGCAACAACCATAGATACATAATCTGCACTGCTGACGGCGGCGTTCCCTGATTGGCAGCGGGGATATTCCTGTCCCGCTAGTTAATTGAAGCCGAAACCCGCCTCTTTCCTCCAGAGTGCGAAGCTGGAGGAGAAGGAACCAAACCCAGGTCAAACGCGCGCGTCTTCTCATTCACCTCCTCGCCATTACTTCCGCCCCTGGGATGGAGCTGCCGGTGCTATTTCGATCTCCGGGCCCCCCTCCCGCGTTTTCCGCCGCCTGTAATCATCATTTTCTGGCGTTTAATTTCACCAAGATGGGGAGGAAAACGGTGCTCTTAAGGAATAGAGCCACGGTGGAGAGGACTAGCGGCCGCGACGCGGTCGACGCTAGCTCAGCTGCGGAGATAGATAATGCTGCCGGAGCTGGAACAGTCTCCGGTGGACCAGCTATGGAGGTAATTACACTTGGCCAGAGCTTCCGGGAAGCTGAATTACCCGTTTGGGAAAAGATCGGTGCTGTAGTGCGACTCAGCTATGGAATAGGTGAGCTTCTTCGCGCTTCTATTATATTTATGTTTTGGGTTTTTACTTTTCTTCTATAAATTCGCGGAGGCTGTCTCGCACTCCCTGTGTCAACATGCTTTACTAATTCTTAACGCAAATCAATAATTGAATCCCCAAAACAATGGCGATATTGAGCCATTCAATGAGTTTCTTCATAATGGTCAATTTGCAGCACGGTCTATATGATTTGTACGGTGTATTTGCTAATAACTGTGAGAATTGGATAAACACATACGGAGTATTAGATTCATCTATCATGAACATTTACAATGCAATAAGCGATGGGCATGCACACCCTTTTGGTTCTGGATGTTCAAGGGTGAGAAGTTAGCAGTTAGGGGAAGCTAGTGTGTGCGCAACTGTTTTAGTTTCACTTCTTCTTCCTTTCCCTTTGTGCTTGTTTTGATACGGACTTGAAGTTTGGGTCAAGATCTTTTCTTTTGGTATATCAAGTGACGTGCCGCAAACATACTGCTTGCCCACTGCAGGGATATATGGTGGGATGGCTTTAGCTGGAAGGTTTATATGTTCGATGGCAGGAATCGATAGCACTGGAGGATTCACTCCAACATCAGATGCCATTGTGGAAGGACTGGAATATGCAGTTCCTCCAATCGCGGCCCTTCTTTTCATACTAGATGTATGCATCCATGTTTAACTTTAAACTAAATTGGTTTGGTAATTAATCATTCTAATGGCTTACCAGCCTTAATATGGTTGGTTGTGTTATTTCTATTAAATAGGATGAGGTTGTGAGGTTATCACCCCACGCCCGTGCCATTAGAGAGGTTGAAGATGAGGAGCTACGCAGCTTCTTCTGTGGCATGTCACCTTGGCAAGTAAGTCATCTCATCATTAACCAACACATTCTCATTTGACCAAATTTATACTCCTTACGTCCTGCAATTAAGAATATTGCCATATCTTCTAGCTTGGTAAGAGAATGAACAAGAATGAAAAAATTAGCAGAATGTTTTCAGTGGTGGTTTCTAGCTTGTAATAATGAAAAAAAATTACAAGAGAATGAATCCGAAACCTAGGTAGTTAGTGGTTAAAACAATTTCCATAAAGAGATGCTGAATTTCCTCATTTGGGTAGGATGCCAAGTGAAGTCAGTAGACCATCCTTGCCAACTTCAGTGTTATCCAAACCAAACTCATGGACAGATCCTAACCTTCTCCAAATGGGGGAATCTGTAGGTTTAAGCAACATGCCATCACCCCTATGTATATACATATATATACACACACACAGTCACACACATGTATATAAAACTTCCTAGTGTTAAAGCTGTAAAATCAGTACAAGAAATTACAAACCTGATAAAATTTTTGTAGTTCATTCTGATTATTGCTGCAAGTTCTGTCGGGGAGGAGCTATTTTACCGAGCTGCTGTTCAGGTCAGTCAATCTATTTATAGTCTATAACTACTTGAGTTTCTATTCTAAAAGGTCAACATTTACTTTATATTTTAGCAATGTTAAAATGAATTTACAGTAATGGATCAATATTCATGTCTTGGCAAAAGATAGGCATGTTTTGGTCTTTCACTAAACGAAATTATATTTGCCTCCCAACAACCAATAAGTGGTGAGGTCTTCTTTACATGATTTTTCAGGGAGCTTTGGCTGACCTGTTCATGAGGAGCACGGATTTGGTAACTGATACTCGTGGATTGACTTCATTGGTACAGTTGCTACTCTCTTCTTCAAACTCGTTTAATTTTTTGTAATTAAGTAAGAAAGAAAACTCACCCTTTGCGTAACAACTGTAGACGGGTGTTTTGCCACCGTTTGTTCCGTTTGCTCAAGCATTTGCTGCCGTTCTGACAGCTGCTCTTACCGGCTACCTCTATTACATTACGTCCTCTCCAAAAGGCGCGTCTTAAGTGTATATTAGCTTTATACACTCATATTGTTGCTGCAAGCATTTTTGTTCTGAATATGATTCCTGAATTTTATATTCCCACTTCAGATCCCATTTATGTCATTGCACCAGTATTGAAGTCCAGTCGTGAAGATTTGAAAAAACTATTTGCAGGTACACAGTTTCATGTACCAAACCAACAAATTCATTTTTTAGGATGAATCTTCAAGTAGTTAAACTAGTTAAAGTCAAATGTCCTCATGTTATTTCATCATATTTGATCTTGCATGATATGTTGCAACTCAAATTGTTCGACAGTATTGGTGTCAGTGGAATTCTAGTCAATGTTGATAAGGAATAAAGGGAAATTACCCTAAATAGGTCTAAAAACGTTTGTATATATCAAAATAGGTCTATCATATTTTTATTCCCAAAATAGGACTAATTACTGCCATGTTTTGGCACTATCAGATTTTAAACATGTCAGTATTTTCCAAATTTGGCAATAATTACTCTTATTTTGCGAGTAAAAACATGACAGACCTATTTTGGAATTTTCACTTTTTTACTCCTATTTCGGGAATTTTCTCAGGAATAAATCATATAGTGCCTCTATCACGCTCAACTTTTCCATGTGAGCACGCATGTGAATGAGAAAGTGGAAAGAGAAAGTTCCCGAAATAGAACTAAACACATTTTGAAAATTTCAAAATATAACTGCCATGCTTTTCTTCCCAAAATAGGAGTAACATGGCATTACTGTCATATTGTAGTCATTATTGCCAAATAGTTGCAGTAGTTGCAGTACTTAAACATGACATTATTTACCAGGGAAAACTATCAAATGTCCATATACTTTTATAAAAAGTCAATTAGGTTCTTGTACTTTTAACTGAGTCAATCAGGTACTCAAAGTGTTAAAAAATCAAATTAGTCATTTTGTAGGTAACCATCCGGTTTCCTGGTTGATGAGTTACGTGGATGTCGAACTGGCATTTTTTACTGTTTTGTATGAAGTATTTTCTTTAATTTTTTCTTTCTTTTCCTCCTTTCTTCTTCCTTTTTTCTCTTTCTTCCCTTATTCTCTTTTCTCCTTGTCCGCTACTTTCTCTGTTACTTCAGTCGCCCCTTCTTCTGCATTTCAATGCTTCCACTGCCAACCAGCCACCCCCTTCCGCATCCTTCCATTTCTGCCGCCCCTCCCTATCCATCACCTCCATGGCCTTCACCTCTGCAACCTCCACTCGGTGACCTCTGCCGGCCGGCCGGCCTCCATAGCCATCATCTTCGTGTCCTCCACTTCCGCTGCCCCTATTTCCTTAATCACTGCCTCTGCGACCTACTTTATCTCCGCCTCCATGTTGGCAACGAGTGATTCAAATTCCATGTTTAGTGGGAGAAATCTGAATAATATGGGTCTAGATATAATATGGAAATGTCTCATTAAAGCAATTATGGCAAGGAGCATTAAATTTGTTACCACTAATGGATGAAATCGTAGAATACCTGCCGTGTTGTTTACCTTATGGAAGTTGTTAACCCATCAAGAAATATTACTACCTCCGTCCCATTTTATGTGTCTTAGTTTGATTTGGCATGTTTATTAATGAAGTAGTTGAAATGATGCATGCCACATTTCTTTCCAAAAAAGGAAAGAAGACACTTATATTGGGACAACCCAAAAAGAAAAGTAGGACAGGTAAAATGGGATGGAGGGAGTATTAAATTTGTTAACTTCGATTCTATCTCAAAATTTTCCTTTATGGCTATGGAGGTCAGGCGGTGGAGATGACGGCTATGGAGGCCGGGTGAATGTGCGGTGGAGGTGGCGGCTATGGGGTCGCTGGCGGAGTTCACAAGTGGAAGTAGGTTGAGGTGGAGGCCATGGAGCCACAGAGGTGGCGGGTACGGAGGTGCAACAGAAAAAAAGAAACGGGGAAGGTGATGGGAGGTGGAGGTGGGTAAGGGTATTGAGATATGTAATAAATATTATTAATTAATACTCCATTATTATTATATATGCAATAATACTAGACTAGTATACAATTCAATCATGGTTGGCCAGGAACTATCACTTCACGTGATGAGCCTAAATATTTCTCACACGCTGTTCAGGACCCCTTGTGGCGGGAGGCCATGCAAAAAGAAATTTCCGCATTGGAAGAAAACGGCACATGGACTTTGGTCAAATTGCCACCCGGAAAAAAGGCTGTTGATTCTAAATGGGTTTATAAAATTAAGTATAAGCCAAATGGTGAAGTGGAACGTTACAAAGCTAGATTGGTAGCTAAGGGTTTCACACAAGTGGAAGGAGTTGACTTTCATGAAACTTTTGCGCCTGTTGCTAAACTTGTCACGGTACGGTGCTTATTGGCCGTAGCAGTAAAAAATAAATGGGCAGTCCACCAACTAGATGTCAACAATGCGTTCCTTCATGGTGATCTTTATGAAGACGTCTATATGCGGATGCCTCCAGGATTTGCGAAAAAAGATGATACTCGCGTTTGTAAGTTGCAAAAATCTCTGTATGGGCTACGACAAGCCTCTCGAAACTGGTATCATAAATTCACTCAGGCCCTCACGAAAATAGGATTTCAACAATCCCACGCAGATCACTCCTTATTTATCTTTGAACAGGGTCCCATCAAAACTTTTGCTCTTATCTATGTTGATGATGTTATCTTAGCTGGAAACAATGTCCCTCACATTGACATGGTGAAAAGTCACTTGGATTCCAAATTTAGCATCAAGGATTTGGGCCCACTAAAATATTTTCTTGGTATTGAAGTTGCTCGTTCTCCTGAAGGTTTTGTACTCAGTCAACGCAAATATACTCTTGATATTTTGGAAGAGAGTGGTCTTCTAGCTAGCCGCCCTAGTCAATTCCCCATGGATCAAAATTTAAGACTTCGCCCAGATGACGATAGCCCTCTAGTGGATGCTTCATCTTATCGCCGACTAATCTAATCGGGCGCCTACTTTATCTCACAGTGACTCGTCCAGATATTGTTTATTCTGTTAGTCAATTGAGCCAATTTCTCAGCACACCACGACAAACTCACCTCGATGCTGCTATGCGTTTCCTACGCTACTTGAAACAAACACCTGGTCAAGGCATATTCTTGTCATCTGAAAATGACTTCAATTTGAAAGGCTATTGTGACGCAGACTGGGCAGGATGCTCCTTTACTCGTAGATCCAGCACTGGTTACTTTATCACTCTTGGGAATTCGCCTGTCTCTTGGCGGACTAAGAAACAATCTGTTGTCTCCCGCTCTTCTGCTGAAGCAGAATATCGTGCCATGGCTGTCACAGTTAGTGAAATTCTATGGCTCCGGTGGCTTCTTCGAGACCTTATGCCCCCCCAAAAGGACCCCAACACCCTTATATTGTGATAATCAGGCAGCTCGACATATTGCCATCAACCCGGTTTTTCATGAACGCACGAAACATGTGGAGATAGACTGTTATTTTGTCCGAGAACGGGTAGCCAGTAATGAAATTCAACCACTTCCTATCTCCACAATCAATCAAGTGGCGGATATATTCACCAAAGCACTTGGTGCAGAACGTTTCCAGTTCCTTCGAAGCAAGTTGGGTGTTCGCAATCTTCACACTCCACCTTGTGGGGGAGTATTGAGATATGTAATAAATATTGTTAATTAATACTCCATTATTATTATATATGCAATAATACTAGACTAGTATATAATTCATCTACGTGAGTTGGCATGGCCCATGGAAGCTACATGCATAGTTCCTAGCCAACCATGATTGAATTGGCATACTTCTTGTATTATATATTCATGCGTAGGCTTCATAATAATATGTATGAGTAGTGTGATATTCTCTTATTAATAAAACTTCTAAATTATCAGTATCAATTTTATCAAAGGGGGACTGGAATGGAAGAAAGAGGAAAGGAAAGGAGGAAAAGAAAAAGGAAACTATAAAAAGTACACCTGGACATCAACCGGGAAACCGGACAATTACCCGTGAAATAGCCAATTTGACTGTTTGAAAATTTGGGGACTTAATTGACCTCATAAAAGTATGAGGATTCAATTGACTTTTTGGTAAAAGTACAGGGACCTATTTGACAGTTTTTCCTATTTACTATCATTAATGGCAGTAACGACTTCTGTTTTGGGAAGAAAGACATCAGTTCTATTTTGGAATTCCAAAACCGATTTACTCTATGATTGAAGTTTTCTGCAGAAGAGAAATAATAAGAAAACAAAATAGTTACTTTAAGGTAGTGTCAAATACAGCAAAAAAAAGTGTCAAAGCTTTCGGGACAATGTCCAGCGGAAAGAAGAGAGTATTGTATAAATAGGGATACAAATCAACCTATTATGAGAGTTTTTCATATTGCTGCATGTCGTGTCGGAGATCGATGTGGAAAAAAGCTTTTGTGTGTTTGTGAGATGGAAGTCATGGAACCATGTTTATTGTTCTTTGTTAGTAATATACTTCTTATCTAAATGATTGCAGCCTGGTACGAGAGGCGACAAATGAAGAAGATATACTCTCCCCTACTAGAAGCATTTTTAGGACTCTACCTTGGATTTGAATGGATCCAGGTTACTCCACGATTTCATCATTATATTCTAATTTTTGCATTGTTCACACTTCACACCTCATACGAGTTATCGTTTATTCTTTTTTTTTTTTGTTTTTTTTTGTAGTTTTGCTTTTCTCTTATGCTTGAGCTGTCTTTTCTTGACAGACAAACAACATTCTTGTGCCGATTGTTACACATGGAATATACTCAGCTGTTGTGTTGGGACATGGATTATGGAAGATCAATGATCATAGGAGAAGGCTACACCAGAGGATCCAACAACTGAAACATGTCGGAAAGAGTTCCAGTGATCATTGATCAAATGCTTTAGGCGTAAATGTTTTTTTGTAATTACTAGCTTTATAACACAGATCCTTGTTCCAATTAGGGTGGCTAACATGAAAATATTATGTTCTAGTGTGTGTATATCATTGGGTCATTTATAGAATGTGTATGTTTGTACTAACTTAATAAATTCATCTCATTATGAAGCGTGACTATGTTGTTGATGTGATAGAACTATAGAACTATAGAAGTCTTTATGAAGAACAACTGCATTATAAATATTTAATTGGTGATAGGAAATAAACTCATGATAATAGTAAGTGCCTATGCGTCAAAAGTGGGACTGGATGCATCCATCGCTCAACAACTCTAGGAAAATCTTGAGGAAATAGTGTGACAAATGTCAAGGGGAGAGAAGTCGGTCATAGGAAGCTATCTCAACGGGCATGTAGGCTCGGGTCATGATGGTTTTGAGCATATTCATGACGGATATGGTTTTGACATTAGAAAATAATGAGAATGAACATTTTGGGGTTTGCCTCAACATATGAGTTGGTATAAAGAACATCTGATTCAAAAAATAAAACAACCTGGCGTTAAGAAAACTTTGGTTGAGAAGAACCATTGGATGGACGATTCATCTGATGAGGAAGAGAACATGGCGCTGATGGTCAGGGGTGGCCTCGGGCCGGGCCAACCGGCCCGGACTGGTACTGTTTGTACCCGGCCCGGCTCGGGAACCGGTCTGGGCACCGGTTCGGGCCTACCCAGCCCGGTAGTGTAGCAGTGCGGGCTCGGGCCTAGGAAACAATGAACCGGCCCGGCCGGGCCTGGCCCGGTCCGGGCCACAACGGCTCTATTTAAAAAAAATTAAATTAAAACACCCCTCCTAGCTCTATTAGTTAATTAATACTTGTCTCGTTTTTTCTATTAGTTAATTCATCGTTTTTTCTATTCATAGTAATTAAATTCATCGTATTGTTACATTTTTTTCATTTCGCTATTAGTTAATTTGTTAATTGTTGCATTTTTCATTAAAGTATAAAACTAGTTAATTGTTACTTTTTTCATCAAAGCATAAAACTAGTTAATTGTTACATTTTTCATTAAAGTATAAAAGTTGTTAATTGTTACATTTTTTATTTCCCTATTAGTTAATTTGTTAATTGTTGCATTTATCATAAAAGTATAAAACTAGTTAATTGTTACATCTTTATATAATATAAAGTAAAAGAGTTGGAGCAAGAATTGGAGGGAAAATTCCCGCCCAAAATAATGGCAAAATAAAGAATTAATGAGAAAAGCAAATTTGGTAATTAATTGTATTAAGTAAATGACTAAATGGTAGGAAAGCAATATGTTAATACCTTAATGGGATAAGGGTCAGTTTAGTCCTCGAAGTTGCAAAAAAGGAGTCAAATAAGTCCTTATATAGAAGATTTTGTCCGGAAGTGTCATTTGAGGTGGCTCCCGGTGGAATTTTTTGATGAATTTTTTTGAGCATCTTATTCATTAAGTCTAGTTTACTCATATCAAATTTCAGATAAAAATTCAACCGGGAAGACATTGAAATGAATTCTTGAAGATAATTGTGCCGTTAAAAGCGTAGTTATCTACAAGAATTCATTTGAATGTCTTCCCGATTGAATGTTTAGCTGAAATTTGATATGAGTAAACTAGACTTAATGAATAAAATGCTCAAAAAAAATTATCAAAAAATTCCACCGGGAGCCACCTCAAATGGCACGTCTGGACATAATCTTCTATATAAGGACTTATTTGACACCGTTTTTACAAGTTCAAGTATCAAACTGACCCTTTACTCATACCTTAATGGACAGAAATTTTAACGAGCATTGGCGTGCTCTTTATTGAGCACGTAAAGCATGTTTGACGCATGTTACCAAAATAGAGTTTTATCCTGGAATAATGCTAAATCAATAAATAATTCCCAAAATATTGTTGAGTTAAAAATAATTCCCAAAATAATGCTGGATTAACCGTGGTTAAGGAAAGCCGCCACTTGAAGTAACGGCTTTTTACTTGCAGTACAAGAGCCGCCACTTGAAGTGACGGCTTTTTACTTGCAGTACAAGAGCTGCCACTTCAAGTGGCGGCTTTGTAACACAATTCCGCAAGGGTTTAATGCACCAAAACCCTCTGTGATTTGGAAATTCGGCGCATTAGCCCCATGTGATTTAAAAAATGCGTCAAACCCCCCTGTGTTTTAATTAATCATGCGCCAAATCCCTTATGTGAACAAATTCAATTGTCAAATAAAAGAAAAATGATTAACATTTTTGTATGATTCAGAGATTTTGACATATTTATTTGCATATTCAATCAAAATATTAGGAAAAGTGATTTTCAAATCGTTAAATTTATTCATAAAGGGGGTTCTGTGCATGATTAATTAAAACACAAGGGGGTTTGACGCATTTTTTAAATCACAGGGGGCTAAGGCGCCGAATTTCCAAATCACAGGGGGTTTGATGCATTAAACCCCAATTCGCAGCCCACACAAGTACGTACGAGTAGATGTAATGCTAAAGCCAAAATTAATGGGTCCCATCAAAATTATAAATCTCCTATTTTCTTTGAAGTGCCGTAACTTTTTTATTTGTATTCTGGTTGTTATAAAAAATATACCAAAATTCATAACTTTTTATTATCTTTCATACGACACCAATATTGAATATATAAACTCAAAAACTAATTTAACTCTTTTAAAATTACTGCGTATCTATTTTAAAGTGTTACATATTTTTTATTTGTATTCCGATTATTACGGAAAATATATCAAAATTTATTATTTTTTATTATCTTTATAGGAAAATAAAAAGAAAATTTACATTTTGAATTTGAGAATGCCGCTTACGTGAGTTATTTTTGTGGTTTTATGAAGGAAAAGTTTTTAAAATATTATGCACATATTCCGCATATTTATGGTATTGCATTTATTCTCGATCCTCGTTATATACTTGGTAATTTGGAAGAATGTTTGAAGTTCTATTATCATGCTTTTTTTGGTCCATTTCCAATGTATGACGATAACGCCATAGATCCGCAAGTTAAATACAACGAGGTAAGTAATTTATCTTATGCCTTATTTAATGAGTTTCATGCACAATATGGCAACACGCCCCCTCCCCCGACACACACATCTTCATCTAAAGGAAAATCACTTTTTAAATATGCTTTTGGCAATCTTATGAAAAAAACTAAAACAACTCACACTATTGAACAAAGCGCACTTAATGAGATTTCTTTGTATATAAATTATGAGGTAGAATTTGACGAAAATAATGAGTTTGACGTTCTAAAGTGGTGGAAGTCAAAAGAAAGAATGTTCCCGATTTTGGCACGGATGGCTAAGCAAGTGCTATCAATGCCGGTTTCAACAATTGCCGTGGAACAAGAATTTAGTTCGACCGACAACGTTCTAACGGCATCTAGAACGAGTTTGAGCGCAGAGTCTCTTGAGACGCTTATATGCTACCACGATTGGTTGAAGGCCATACGTAGAACTCAAGAAATTAACATCACCCCCTCCCAAGACTTTATGGATGAATCAACAACCGAAGGTGGCCCCTATGCCGGAGATTCCGATTGATTAGTATTTTACAATTTATTATAAAATGTATTTCATGTTTTAATTTTCCCCTCAATTCTCTATTGTAATTTGTAAACTTGTAGTTCATATTTCAAATAAATATACATTCTTTTTTTACCCCGAGTATATATGTAGCACTTCTCAAATTAATTAATTGGTTACAAACTTACAACTTACAACTTAGAATTAATTATATTAGTATTTATTAGAAAATGTATTTCATATTGAAGTTGTATTAATAAGTAAAAAAAAAATACATAGGCCCGACCCGACCCGGCGGGTGGCCCGGCCCAGGAACCGGGCGGGTGAGCCGGCCCGAACCGGCACCGGGCGAAGGACGGGCCGGTTCCGGGCCCCCATCCCAGAACCGGAGGCCCGGCTCGGGCCCAAACCGGCCCGAGTCCAGGCCTAGTCATGGTTGAGGAAGAAAAAGAAAATGCTGAGAATGAACCTATGATTGCCTTTTCTGCTGAGAATAGGGATTCAGACGACGATGTAAGTACTTCTGACTCCTTTTCATCATTATGCTCTAAATCTGATCATAACTGTTTAATTAAGGAGCTTGAAGGGAGACTAAAACACAATTTCAACGTTCTGGTAAAACAACTAGAGAAGGAATCCTTTCTAAATGTCAAAATAACGCAGTCATAGGACAAGATCATTATGCTGACCCTAGAAAATGACAAACCAAAAACTTGCGTTAAGGACTCGACGGAGAAACTTAGTAACTCAGAGGCTGAAAGAATTAGACTATTTGCGGTAAATAAAACACTTTTTACCACTATGGATACTCTATACGAAAATTAAGGAACTTGAAGACTTGTTAGCCAAAAGGGATCAAACAAATCAGAATATTTTCCTTAACCAGTCTAAGGACAATCGTTTCTATAGCTCTAAAGAAGGTCTAGGGCTCTCTAATCCTCATAGAGTAAATTGTGCTCAACTCTATGACGCCAGACACATGGGATTAGGGTTGACTAAGCTCATGGCCTTCACGGGAGCTGAAGAAACCAATGCCCTCGAAGATGACAAGAGAAAAGGCGAGTCTGAAGCTGAGATTCCATTTGACTATACTAATCTGAACAAGAGTTACAAAGATCGAGAGATCCGGTAAACTTCTGAAGAAGAAATTCTTACTTATCCACCTGAAAAGGAGACTGTGCAAGATAGAGAGGAAGCTTCAACCTCTGAACCTCAAACAAAAACAACGTACATTCCACCTCTCGTGAAAAAGTTTCGCTTATTTAAAAGAATCTTTTGAAAAAGAAAAGAAATCTCTTTAACTTGATAAAAATTAACTTTTAAATGAACTTTCTCTTTTAAGAGGGTCCTTTCAATCTCGCACAGGATCTGAAACCTCTTTCCCCCATCCTTCGAAAAACATTTTGAAAAATCAACAAACATCTTTAAAACTTCTACCACTCACTCCAAGTCTCATTCACCAGCAAGAAACCATGTGAAGAGGAGAGTGGAGAAGAGTCTTGGATTAAGAATAAGAAAAAAATGTTCAAGTGTCTTGTTTTACGCTAAGAATAAGTCTAGATGTAACCTTAGTGAACCGTGAACCTTCTACTAGTCATGTTAGTAGTGCTATTCGTAGTGGTTTTATTTCTAGTATGTTTGTCAAGTGTCTTAGGTCTATGAACTGTGTTAAATCAATGATTGTTTGTTGTTTTGTTTCTTCTTCCTCCTCTGATTATGATAACAC